TCCTTCTTCGGCGCGTGCGAATGCGAGTGACCGTTGGTCTTGCCCAAAAGTGCAGTCTGCTCAGTGGGCTGGTCGTCGCCGCTCTCGCTCGCATCGGCATCATCGGCCTCACCATGGCGAGAGGACTCAATGATGCTGTTTCTGAAAGACGAAGGGTGCACGTAGATTTCATCGATGGTGGAGTATCCCTGGGACGCGGATCGTGCGTGGCGATGGCCACGCTTGCCAGAAGCCGACTTGCGGCGGGTACGTGAGGTTTGCACAGAGCTGCTCTCTTCGTGGTCGTGTGCGTGGTCGTGTGCGTGATCGTGCGTCTCAGTGCCGTGCGAGTGTCCTTCTTCAGCGTGCGAGTGCTCATCGCCGTGGCCATGCGAATGCCCTCCTGGTCCGTGGCTGTGGCCTACGTCGTGGAAGAGGACCAAGCCGACAATGTTTGAAGCAAGACCGAGAGAACCGACAATGAGAACGAGCATGGGCTGGGAAACTTCCTGTGGTTCGACGAATCGCTGGATCGCTTCAAGGAAGATGGAGAGACACAGTGCGACCAAGAAGACGCCATTTACGAGGGCACCGAGCGTCTCTGCGCGTTGCCACTATGGCTTGTTAGCACTGTCCTGGCTCCAGTGGAGGTGGGATACATACTCCGTAGGTGTATCTTTTCGAGTTGGTCTTCTCGTTCGCGACCTTCACTGCCCAGAGACCGACAAGAAGCGAAATAACATCGTTCAGCTGCACTAGGGTTAATTACGGTCCTTCACAACACGAGCTGGAACATCTCACCATGTGGAAAGAGTCGGCCACCAGGGCCAACGAGTGTACAGCATATCCGACAATCAGCTCCAGCAGGAAGAAAGCCGAGTCGATACCCAGCAGGATCATAATGCGCGTCGACTTGGAAAGCGCCATGTTTGCGGTCTCGGAGCGCGCGCTCGTGTGACGTTTGGTGTGCGAAGGGTGTGTAGGGCCGGCGCGGCCAGGGTCTTTATGGAAAGCTCAGCAGTGCTCCAGTCGAGGCTCCACTGAGACGTGGATGGGGTGTGGCGGTAGAATCTCGAAAAGTTTCACGGCTGGGGGTCGTCGCGATGCGCGGTTGAGCGATCACATAAATGCGCGCACGGGGCGGGGGCCACTTGCTCTTCCCGATTGCGTCAAGGGTCGCGCGCCTTCCCTCATCCGCAAACAACCCATGCCTTATCCATCCTCACGCATGTCGACCTTGGAGATGCGCAATCGTCTAGCAAAGGCGAATTGTTTAGCATTCTCCCCGGTTCTTCTATTTTGACAATTAGTTGCTGCTATCCTGCTCGCATCTGCCGCCGGACTGCTCACGTGCTCAGCTTGGTCAGCAGTGGCGAGAGAAACTCCTCAGGCTTCTTCCGTATCAGGATTTCAAGTTTCTGCGTTCTAATGAATATCAGGCCAAGGAGCCGCATCCGCCCCGTTGCCAATTGCGGGCCTTCACCGTGCCGGCAAATTTCCAAACGTTCATTGTCGTACAAATTCCTCTTTGTAGTAGACAGTTTGCTATGACATGTCGACTCTACCTAACGTGCACGTGTCTTGTGCGGCGCATCCCTGAGAAACTGGCGGACGAACTGAATATCGAGTCAACCGCCCGCAAGTATACAGCAGCCTTCCAGCACGCTACTGCGCTCCAGCCCCGTGGGCCAGGAGAGATACCCCGAATACCTGTGTGGGTCCTCTGTACTCCAGCCGTGTGTAAGGGCAGCTAAAAGTACGGTGTGGACTCTACGCAGAGCATCTGTTCAGCCGAGGTCTTTCAGACATCAAGCACCGGGTCGTTTGAACGACAAGCATAGAGAAAGCATTTCTTGAAACTTGACGCGCTGCACTGTCGACCACATCCTCTCAAGTCGCAAACGCCCTGTATTGTATACTTCTCCGTTTGGTCCCCCAAGTCGATATATGTACCATCGACGAGGGCGTGGTTTGTGTCCACATCTTTCACTTCCATCCAGTCAATCAGGGTGTTGGCTTTCTCAATACTGTGATCCGGGTTGATCGTTAACCAGTATTCGCCAGTGATACTACTGTTATAGAGGTCTGTGGCCTTGTATCTTCCGAACAGCTCGATACCCAGCCTCAATCCAGAGTCTTGCGCAATGGTCTTTGATGAATAGTGAACACAACAGTGGGGATGCTTCTGCTGTCCTTCGGGTATGATATCCAGAGCCACGCGCATTGTATCCTCCTCGAGCCTCTCAGCATACTCAGTTGGCACGCTGATTTGCATGTCGTTGACCTGCAGGGACAGTTCGGAGATGCCGCCCCACTCGTGAAGTATCAGTCTCTTGACTCCAATTGGTAAAGGAGGGGCAGGAGCCAGGATTTGTCGCTCTTAAATGGCTCCATTGACAAAACAGACCTACCTGTTGTCGAGTCGAGGTGGGGGAAGATGTGGAAGTGGTGGTACCATTCTGTGGCCGTGACAGAATCTATCGCGCTTTGCTGTATATCGAGTCTTGTCCTTCCTCTTGATCTCTGTGTATCTTTGCGCCACTGGGTCGACGTGGTCTTCATACCAGAGCTGATGTCTTTTGCAGTTCTAGCCTGATACTCGATCTCAGCCCTAGATCCTCTGGTATTGTCTTTGCACTCTAGTGGCAGTTGTACCGTGGCAAAAGCTGGATACACCCAGACAACACTCAAGAGTTCTAGAAACTGGGAGGTCTTCAGCGGCAACTTGCAGGTGTCTTGCAAAACCATAGAACATCTGAAGGCTACAATCTATTGTATGATCATGCCCGGCTGTTTTTGCAACATGAGAGCCCCCAGACTTTTACAGACCAAAGAAACATGTCGGCGAAAGTTTAACATTGAGTTGAGTGATCCTGTCCAATCATGATAGACAGTGGCAATGCAGCGTTAGAGAACGTAGCTGTGGATGTAAGTCAGCAGTTTTCCAGGTGGTCGCAATGACTTGAACATCCGACGCTTAATTTCAATACTGGCTCTCATCTTGCAAAAAACGGGACAGGGCTCATTAGAGTGATTGTAGCCTCCAGAACCATTATGAGTGTGCATATAATGCTCAAGTGAAGTCCAAGTACCCCCTGTGTGTTTGGAACTTTGTTCTTGGGGCTGGTTTTTTTGCAACTCGACAGATTAACTACTCTCAGTAGATGTTCTGCGTTCCTGTGAACAGCGCTTTTGGTTGATTTATCTATGTACCCGTATTTAGCGTTTGAGTGCTTGTCTAAAAAGCTATTGATGTTTGTCTACAGGTTCGACCTCGCCAACATGGTGTCTGTGTGAAGAAAACTACTTTGGGAGGTGGCATCACCAGTGCATTTCGCCTTTTCGGGCTTGTTGCTCTAACAGACTTTATTGTCACTACAACCCGGTTCAAGATTGGTGGGGAACTTTTGTCAGCAGATTGAAAACGTCTTGGTGATACAGAGCGGTTGATCAGGTGTTTAAGGAAGTTGAGAATGAATGAGATATGACGGCGAAGAACATGTATTGTTGGCGTCACAAAACATACAGTGACGTCATAGTGAGGTGAAAATGAGGAAAGATCTTACTTGCTAATGACCCTGAACATCAAAGGTCGCATTCGATGCCAGAGTATCCTTTGAGGGAGCACAGGCTATACTTGATCCTCTTCTTCTCCTTCAGCTACCCTCTAGGGGTCAAATGCATCGGCTTGTTTTAAATCGTTCTAACCCGCCTGAATACGACCTGCCAACCTTGAGCCTCGGCGTTTCTCAGCACTTCCTTTTTGTCCCACTGTTCATACTGCTGCTGATCAGTTTCGAAAAAACGATACATATTGATGTAGACCTTCCTCAGTAACGGGTACCTGCCCCGAAGACGAGATAGTCGTTCCCGCACCCCGTCTCTTGAGTAGTAGTTAGGTGGGCAGTAGATCTCTGTGATTCGAAGAGCTCTGATTGTCTCGTCATTGAGGTGCTTGGCGATTGGATCGCCGAAGCTGAACCATACATGATTGTAAGTCCACGGTAGCATTTTAGTCTCCTCGTACATAACCCGACAGACGAAAGTTGGCTGCTTCAATTCAACCCAGTTCTCTTCTGACTGATGGCTTCGTTGATCAAGGGGCACGCAGAACACGCCGCATGGTCTTAGGTAAATTATGTTACCACCGAACACGTACTCGTAGGTACGGTTGCGAATCTCTCTGGGTAGACGAAGTAGTGGCGACCGCTTGCGGTTTCGTTCCGAGCTGAATCAAGTCAGGTGGTGCGCAGTCGGGCTTCCTCAAGGCGTACATTGCGTCGCGCTTGGACTCGTCGAGCTCACGAGCAGCCACGCTACGCGTTCTGTGCGTAGCTGATTTTTTGGCAGTACCTTGGTCGCGTTTGGATTCGTTTATCTTGTGCTTACACGGTGGCATGTTGGCGTGCATATTGAGGCAGTGGAGACTCGAATACGAGTGACGGCAAGATAAAGGCCACCTGGGTAGGATGTGGGCGTAGGGGGGCGTGGGGAAGAAGAACTAAGGTTGAGGTGTTGAATGGGGTAAGTACGCACAGACTAGGACCTAAACAAGTCAGTATTGGGTGTTGAAGTGAAAGCACGCCGTCTCAGAAGTACACCAGCACCTACCTCTTCCAAGGTTGCACTGAGAATATAAGTGCCATATGCAGATGCTCTCTCTGTCACGCCCTTCGCGAAGAATTACACATGCTTTGTGTCGAATCGGCCAGCTCTGTTCTGTAGACTCTATAACAAGATTTCTAGATTTTAGTAGCCGGCAGTGTCCTTCAACAGCTAACCATAAGAATTCTCGTCGCTTAAGTCCCCGAGACAAACCTTGTGTTTTCTTGATGATCTCTGGATTACGGTGCAAGATGCTCGAGCGTTGGACACGGATCGTTAGCTTATTGTTGAGCGGAACCCAGGAGGCAAAGGCATAACACTTTGTTCATTCATCCTTACGTTCACTCTCACTTCACAGTAGACGTACTAACAATAGAAACTATACGTTTTTCAGATTTCCCATCAAAAAAATTAGCGGGTCGGTGGCACAGTGGTAGCGTATGGGATTGCAGTTATAAACAACTATCCTATGGTCCCCGGTTCGAACCCGGGTCGGCCCTTGCATTGTTTTTTGCCTCTCCGTGGGTGCTGATCCGGTTATGGATGAAGACGGTGTTTCTGCTGTTTGGTCTATGTTATGGCTTTGCTTCTGAAGTGGGTCAGGGGAGGCCTCTACTCTAATCGCCTCTTTTGAATGTAGGGCTCGAAAGTCCATCACAACTGTTTTCTTTTTGGGTTAACTTGCTACCTTTACATCCATTCGTTTGACGTGTCTCAGACTGTGACTGTTCTTGACCTCAACCGGCGTGTAAGGCCGAATACAACGGACAGACACTGAATCAGGTATTATGACTACTCGACCTCGAACTCGCCAGAGAAGAAGTCAACAATACCCGCTACCGTCTGCTCACTATCCAGTGCGCTTCCGAGTCTGTGCATACAGTCCTCATCACCGGCTTTAGCGCCCAGTGCAAGAAGCACAAGCTCCTTCAGACTCCCAACGACGTCAGTGACATTAATGACTTGGCCCTCGTTCAGTGGAACATCCGCGGTGCAATAAGGCAGGAGAGCTGTGACGGCGCTTCCTTTCGCTGGCTTGTGCGTCTTTGAAGGCACTTGGGGCGCTGCCATGGCATTAACTTGATGCATGGGTCTTGCTTGCGTTTGCAGGTGTTGGCTTCGTTGATGGTGGGACTGCTGTTGCTGTGGGTACTGCTCTCGCGCGCACTGATGTGGAGGATATCCCTGTTGCTGGTGAACTTGGCTGTCAGGCCGACCATGAGCGTTCAATGGAATCATCTTTGGGGGGTAGTTGGCAGGGTAATTGATTTGCGAGCCAGTCGGTGTGTTGTCACCTTGAGTTGCAACTTCAGGCTGGTAGTCGTAAGGCATCGCGCGTAAGGACTACCTGACTTGGCACCGTGGCTGGACACGAACTATGTTTTGATTGAGTGTGAGTGGTGCATCCGGCTCGAAGTGCGACTCTTCGAGCGTCTGTCGTATGCTGCAGTGGATGGAGTGTCGGCGAGCGACGGTCTTGCCTGCGGTGACGCTCAAAGCGATACTGGAGACTGGAGGATTGTCGAGTGCATCGAGTGACCGACGTGACCTAGCCAGCCGTTTGTGCAGGCGCGTGACGTGGCGCGACAAAAGCAGTAAGAACAACAGGTCGTTTTTGCCGTATTTCCTGAGAAATGATGCAGTCTCGGTATTCAGCGATTGACGTCTTTTACAGTCGTCTAGGCATTCATTTTTGGAGCTAGGGTGGTGGCTGTGGCGGGATAGTATACATACTGTACATCTAGACTATGCATCGCGGATCTGTCGTTCTTCTATCGTCGGTATGGGTATCATGAGAGGAGAAAGTATATACAACGCTCGATGCAGATGGTGTTTCGTGTCCAACGTGGACGATGACTAGTCTCCATCGACTGGGGTGCGAAAGTTGAAGAAGTCCACCCATGCGCAAGTCGATAAGCGGACGCTCATTGCTGAGGCCGGCTTTCGTCCTTTGTGGAGTGCCCCTGAGACAGGTCTGAGGCTTGTGTGGACGCCAAGTTACTTGCGCTCGAGGGCTTCTCTGCCTCTGCCTTTGCTAGCTCTCTTTGCCTTTTCGCCTCTTTCTCTTTCGCGACAGCTGCCTTGGCTTCAGCTCGGTGTTCCTCTTCTGTCTTCTGATGTTGATGTTCTGCGACTCCGCTGCCTCTCCAGAAACTAAGCAGCTTACCCTGCTGTACCGGGTCGGGCTGCTTCTTCCTTAGCTCTTCAAGCTCGCTCTTGACAGTTTTCAGCTCAATTTGCAGCTCCTCGAGGTCTTCTCTTATATCGTCTCGAGCATTCTTGGCCTTGCGCCTCTGCCGCCATTGCTCGAAGACAATGACGCTTATGCCAACAGCGAAGATGAAGGTCTCGGCGACGAAGTTTGCGCCGGTCTCGATGGCCTTCTGCTCGGAGAGCGGTCGGATCCGTGGTTTGAACTTCTCCTCGGTCCTCTTCTTTATGTCCTCCTTCTCCTTCTCTGTCATTTCTTCTTCCGCCTTCATCTCTTCTTCCGTCTTGACCGTAGGTGCTGCATGCCGGTCTCGTGCAGCCTTTGCCGCAGCCACTTCTTTCTTGATCTGCCGGTCGATAACCGCTGGATCTTGAAGCAGGCCCAGGCGCATCCTCATGTCGATCCGGTGGATCCTCTGTGCGAAACCCACACATATTCTGCGAAACCGCTCGTGTTCGTGGGCATTGCGTTTGATGGCGTTCTACGACAGTGTAAGCTATTGTCTGGAGTTCTAACCTGTCGCCTCTTACAGCCATCGGCTTCGCAAGCGTCCTCACGAACAGCGAGGTAATCTTTAGTGTGAGAGACATGTTGGGTGAAATGGCAGAGCTGTGACGATGCTACAAGGGGCAATTGAGATGTCATAGAATGTTCATGGCAATTGCACTAAATCTGATAAGTCAGAATGGTGATATGAGCACTTGGAGAGGCTGCGGTGACGAGAGTCACGCGTTGTGAGGAGACGATGGCTGCTTCGAAGCTGCCTGAAGTTCCGCAGCTCGGAAATTCCCCGACGCCGACGTCAGCGCCTGCCATGTGCTCGCAGACATCAGGAGGACGGGGGCATCTACGAAAAGAATGAGACTATCACCCTGGATGACTTCGCAAGACTCTCATAAAGTCATCACTATACACAAGTAAATGCACTGGGTTGCAGGAGTGCGTCATCGAGTGAAGCCAAAGTCACCAAAGCACGCGCAGGACGCCAAGTGACAGGGGTGGCTCTGGCATAGCAACGGCGGTCGCTTAGGTGTTTGTTTGGCCCGGTCCCGAACTTCAACATCAGCGCTCACGCCTCCACGGCATCCGACATTCGACCGCCAAATTTTGGAATGTCTGCCCCGTCCGTCCACGCTGAGCCGCCACCAGAGGTGGTGCGCGACCCCGAAGGCCTGCAGTATGAGACTGGACCGCAGCTGGGTAAGGGCGGCTTTGCCATCTGCCATCGCGCGAAGCTGCTGGGCCATGAGCACCTTGGCAGCAGTACAGTCGCTTTGAAGATCGTCAGATCCAAAATGGAGCCCCCCAAACTGGCGCAAAAGGTGCGCAAGCCCTCCAGTCAGTTCCATCACCCCATGCTGACGCGCTGCAGTTTGTGACCGAACTTCAAATCCACTCGAAACTGTCCCACCCCAACATTGTCGAGTTCTACCGCGCCTTCTCCTTCCACTCGAGCACCTATGTAGTCCTGGAGCTATGTGAAAACGGCTCCCTCGCCGACGCGATCAAGAAGCGCAAGTACTTCACCATGCCCGAGATTCGTCGATTCATGATCCAGACATGCGGCGCCATCAAATACCTTCACCAGCGAAACATCGTGCACCGCGATCTCAAGACCGGCAACCTGTTCCTCGACAAGGACATGAACGTCAAAGTTGGCGACTTCGGTCTTGCCGCCCTGCTCCTCTCCCAGAATGACTACGGCGCGATTCGACGAACGACCATGTGTGGTACACCGAACTACCTTGCGCCCGAGGTTCTCGAGAAGACAGGCAAGGGCCACGACGAGAAGGTCGATCTGTGGGCGATCGGCATTATGATGTACACACTTGCCGTTGGTCGAGCGCCGTTCCATGCAGCAAAGCGCGAGGACATCTACCGAAAACTGAAGGCGCGTGAATACTCTTGGCCGGATCCAGTAAAGTGCGCGAACGAGATCACTGACGACCTGCGCGACATCGTATCATTACTGCTCGTACACGAGGACGACAGACCCACACCAGACCGCATCGTGGCGCATCCCTTCTTCAAGCTGGGATATATTCCGTTGGACCTGGACCCTGGATGCACATCGAAAATCCCCAGGTGGCCCAAAGAACGTACGCCGTCAGCTTCGACCATGAGAAGAGGGTACACCGAAGAATGGTGGACATTGTGCAAGGCCTCAGCAGTGGGCGAGTATGATCCAGGGAAAACGTTCGGCGCATATGGAAGTAGGAGGAACAAGACGGTCGCTCGTGACTGTCAGAAGGAGATCGAAGCTGGCAAGCAACCGAATGTACCCTTCAGCAAAGATGTCGTATACGTACCGTTCCCTGCACGCGTACAATGGCCACATCAGCCTGCACCCGGAGGACTGAGCGAGATATCAGAGGAGAAGGAATCGTCACAAGAAGGCCAGGCGTTAGTGGAAACATCCGGAAACGATCGCCTGAATGGCCGCTTACCCCGTGTCAGGAAGCGGATGCCGCCGCCAGCATTAAAGGAGAACGCGCCCATGTCGTCCCAGGAGTCGATACCGTCAACGGAACCAGAGCCGGCCCGGAGAGTATTGGATAAGGCACCCACAAGATTACGGGCGGTACGTAAGGTTTCGAGCTCTGCTCCGGTCAGCGCAGCCACAGCACCCGCGCCTGCGCCGATACGAGTACCAAGAGAGACAAGACCCACAACACGAGCGCGTGCTGCAAAGGAGGGCGCGAAGAAGTTATCTCAAGAAACGGAGACCGGACTCCCTGATCTCCCACCTCTGCGCGCAATGAGGACCACCGTCCGAGTGACTGAGAATCCAGAGCCTGCGCCTCAATTCATGACTTCCACACGGGGCACCAAACTATCAGCATCGACGAGAAGCGAGTCTAGATTCCGGCCTGTTGCCGCTGAGCTCGCAGCCACAGATCCTGTCACTGTGCTGGCGCGTTTGTACACATTCCGCGACAATCTCGCACGCGCCCTTGAAAAGAAGCCATCAAAATCAAGGAGGGAACAGCCGCCACAGCTCCCATTCGTAACGAAATGGGTCGATTACTCGCGCAGATACGGAGTTGGATACGTCTTAGACGACGGCAGCATAGGCACTCTGCTCACAGGCGACGAGCACAATCCGGTCACGGCTGCAATTGCTACAGATGGGTACAACCACCTGAAGAACAATGGCAGGAATCGGGAAGCTGCGAAGAGTGTACCTCTTGACTACTACACCACGGTCAAGAAAGACCGAGGGTTGTCCCAGATCGAGATTCAGGATCGCCGACGAACAGAGGAGATCCGGACGGTATGGCACAAGTT